TTCCCAAATCCCAGCCTGGTGCTGTGGATCCAGAATTCCAGCAGAACTGAGAGGGAAGAGCTGCTAAAATGAAATTTTTGCCTCAATTTCTCCCTCACAACACTGGGCCCAAATCCTATCCCGAAGGCTTTGGGATGCAGGCCTGGCTGGATTTCAGGCAGAATTTATCTTCCACTTTCTAAAATTCCAACCTGGCTCCTAAAAAGCTCCAAGGGCCGTGGCTGGGAGGTTTCTGAGGACAAGGGAGAGGGATAAGAAAACAATAACCGGGATCCGATTTCTTGGGAGCCGCGGGAGGAGATAATTGGAGTCTCCAAGAGCTGCTGATAAGATCGGACTCGGTTGCTATTTTCAGGCTCAGACAGCAAGGCTGGAGACACCGAAATAAATCCTAAAACCCGAGCTGCAGGCTCCCAAAGAGCTCTGTCTCCAAGGAAATCCATAAATATTCCAAGGTGTGGGATACCAGGATTCCTTGGGGGCACCTCCGATGGGGCAGAACTGAGGGGAAAAGGAAGAATTAAGGGGGAAAAATGATTTTGTTTTAGTTCCAAAAGGGATTTTCTCTTCCTTGGGGTGTCCCAGCAGCAGCTCCTGGCTGCAATTCCTTCTGGGAAAGAGGCAGGGAATAAACAGAGCTGTGTTAAACCTGGAAAAGCAATTCCTGAGTGGAGTCAGGGTCTCCTGAGGGTCTCCATCCTCCAAATGGAACCTCAGGATTCACCTGGGGGAAGAGAAAACAAACCTGGATTAGAAAACTTGGAGAGGGATTTAATTCCAAGTTTAAAATTCCTGTGGGAATTTGGGGACAGGTCCAAGCTCTTCACAGTGGCCATGGCAGGGCACAGTGACACAGGATGGGTCCAAACTGGATTTCAAGGAATTTTCCTCATCGTTCCCACAGTCAATTCTTGGATCAGCAGGAATATTTGGGATCATCCCATTTTTCCTTGCTTTGGGCTCACCTCATCCATGTGGATCCAGTCATTCCCTGCTCCTGACAGTTGTTTATCCCAAAATATTTGGCTCTCGATGCTTTCCAGATGAAATCAGACATCAAAGGCCCAAAATTTCCTTCCTTCCCTCCCTCTGCCTTCCCCTTCCATGGCTTGTATTGATCAGGGATTTCTCCCTGGATTGGGAAGGGCAGTTTGGAAGGAAAAGGAAAGGCAGGATCCAGGATCAGGTTGGGAATGGCTGCAAATTCCTGGATTGGGGAATTGGGAGCAGCAGGAGAATTGGGATTATGCAGAATAAAAACCCCAGGGAAATCCAGCTTTAGGAATATTAAATGGGAAGGTTTTGTCCTTGCAAATGGGATGAAAATTCCAGGATATTTCCCCCCAGGAATTCTGGAGCCAAAGGGAGCTGCTTCCATTTCATCCACATCCTAAATGGGGTTCCCCTCCCTCACAGCATCCCTGCTGGATTTGGGGAAAAGGTTCCTGGAAAAAACAGGATCCTCAGGGATTGCCACATTCCCAAGGCTCCCAGAGCTCCAGGAGATTTTGGACCATGCTCCCAACTGGGATTTTGGGGTGTCCTGGGCAGGGATACGGGTTGGACTCTGATCCCATGGATCCTCCCAGCTC